TATATATATATATATATATATATATATATAAAAGGTAAACCATTAGGTAATTTTATTACTAAAAAATTACATAATTTAGACAGGGAAACCCTCTAATCCAAAATAAAAAAAATGAAGAGAGCACATGCCTAGGGTTCCACCATCATAGTACAACACCACACAAAAAAAGAACTCCAAAATACAGCACAGAAAGAAAATTTCCAAAATACAAGAGGCTCTCAATAAAAGAAAATAAAATAATATACTCTCCAAAAGCAAAATAACACCATTATGAAAAGAATCTCATGATATGTCAAGTTTGTCGCTATTCAGTAGCAATTTGAGGCAGGGATCTGACTTGGTCTTCAATAGCGCTCTATCTGACTTGGCATCAACTTTGGCAGATAGTTTGTTGGTCTGTTTATTTCCCTTAGGGTAAGGTTCCAATTAATAACAATTGAAGTAGATAACTGCTTAATCTTACTTCTTTCATTTAGGTACCAAGGTGGATCTACCATTAAGTAAAATGTCTATGAAAACATACATACATACAAACATACAGATATATATATATATATATATATGTTAAAATTGAGTGATATTGAACTCGTTAGATTCGTCTTATCGAGACACTCAATTCGATTATAAATTTATCAGATTGAAATTCATTTGATCATTCAATTAATCATTCAAAGCTTCCGATTGCGCTTAAATGGCTTGAAATGAAAATGATCAGACTCGGGTTGGACCAATTTAAGAGTTGGGTTTGTCTTGTCAAGATGCTCAGACTGATTCTCATTTGATGAAATCGGAGCTTAGGTGATCATCTATTCGCATTTGTTTGCTCAAATGCTTTGAGATTCGTGCATGACTTAAATTTAAAATCATTACTCAAATTAAATTTTAAGATTTTAAGTTTTGAACATTAAAAGAAAAGAAATAAAATGTTCTTTTTATAAATTATAGATCAAATCAAATAATAGCAGCAAAATAAATAGATTTAGGGAATTTAGTGTAGGTTGATATATAAGATAGAGATGTCTCCACGTCCAATTAGAGACAACAATTATTATTTTCTTTATTAAATGAGACAACTTAACATAATGTTTATTTGGAAATGAGAACACCTACGGGAACTCAGTTCTTGAAATTTCGGCTTCAATAATATGTACGTGTATATATGAGTGTGTGTGTGTGTGTGTGTGTGTGTGTCTATATATAGATACATACATACATACATAGAGAGAGAGAGAGAGTAATAACACGGTAAAGAACAATAAATTTGTGTAACCATTGTTCATGAAATGGACCCTATTTATAAGAATGGGCCTTTGTACATTTACAAAATGTACCACTAGAATACCTATATACAATGAGGGTATTTTGGTCCATACGTGAGTGTCACCCACAGAGCCCACGGTTTCGGCCAAGCAGCTATTAGACTAGGCGGCTATGTAGTCGGGCAGCTACTTGATAGGGTCCAAATCAACCATCTTGGAAGTGGGGAATTCTCTCTGATTTCTCGATTTATATGAGTTGGTGGGCTCATCTGAGCGGACCTAGTTAGGTGGGTTCCTCAAGAGTGTCCACCCCTCATCTGTCTGAGATGCACCCTCTTCCTAGTTCGTGGGACCTGCTGGCTGGGTGTGTGGTCTTGGGTGGTCTTGGGTAGATTCCACGAGACCATGTTAGCTTCTTCATCATCCTTGAGATGCGTTTGCAATTTGTACTGACATATTTTAATTGTACATAATTAAGTTCACATATTCTCTTGCTCATTGATAGCGACAGCTGCAATAAAGACAGATGAATCTTAATTTTCAAAACAAGTTATGACAATCATGATTATTTAATGCGCAATAATTATTCTCTTCTTAATTTCTGCTCCCAAGACCTTATAAATGTGGTGTGTGTATTTATCTTTTGAGCATTCTTTCAAATTTACTTTCCATCTTGTCTGCAGTGCTGGTCATAGAAAGGGGAAAGTTTTCAAAGCCTGCTGGCAAGGAGGCTCGAGCTTTCTTGTCGTGACCATGAAAAAGAGGGTCAGATCTAGCTCTAAAATTAAATAGCATGGAAAGCATGTGATATATGAGGTGAGGGCTCTTGTTCCCATGGTGAAGGTAGGATATTCTCACTCGAATAATTGTCGTTCCGTGGAAGGTTCTCTGGCTGTGGAGGGAAACTTTCTTATTAAAAGGCATCGCTTGGCGAGGGATAGACTTTCGGATGATGACTTGGCTAGTCGAAACGTTCCTCCTCCAACCCTTTATAATTTGAGAAAGGGGCAAGACCAAGACCCGACATTTGACCTTGCTCCTTCAGATGTTCAAATGACAGATGAGCTGGGAGTTGCTCCTGGCCCCTCAACGAAGAGAACCTCCCAATCGACCTTTCAACCTTTGTCAGTGGAAAAAAAGATCAAGGGAGCAAGAGCTCCTTCACCACCTTTAATCTGAACCAGATGATGAATCTATCTTTTGGCAAAGGCACTAGGGCCCCTCCTCCATGTGAGTTGGAGGCTTTTAGGGTTTGTGTTGTTGTGGGTTTTGGATTCACCAAAGATCCTTCTTGCTCTAGGGGCCGTTTCTCAACGAGTCATTGAATCTGACAAGAGCAACCAATGTTTCGGGGCTATCTGAGTCGGGTACGGCTTCATCTCCTCAAGAGGTGTTCTTTTATATGACGCACATATAGGGTGATTGGAAGAGTGGTTAGTTGTTGTCCAGACTTCTCCGTTTCATGATAAGTTATCATCTCCAAAGGATAGACTAAGTGTGGTCCGAGAGGAAGTTTCATTCTCCTGACTATGTTCTGAAATGAATAGGGTAGATATGGTAAGGATAGAGGACACTTAATTTTCAAGTGGTTGTCCCAATTAGAGTGTGTCTCTATTGAGGCAATGATCGACAGTTAATTTTAAATGAGTGGCACATATATAAGTGTATTTTATCTTTGTAAATTTATACATATATTTATATGTATATGTATGTATGTATGTATGTATATATACATATATATAGATATATATATATATATATATATATA